CTACCCAAACAACTTTTAGTTAGTAGTTAGATGGTGGGAGGGCCCCGACTGGCTGAAGAAAAATCAGGAAGAATGGCCTAGACAAAGGGAAATACCGGACATGGAAATAGTGTAAATTCAGAAAAAAGGAAATCAGTCATTTCTGCACTAAATACGCAAAGGGTAAAAGGGTAGAACATTTTTTTGAGAAATATTCATCTTACCATAAAATGTTAAGAATAACTGCTTGGATATGCAGATTTATCAACAACTGCAGAAGACCAGATTCTAAACAATCAGGAGAAACTCTGAAATAGAAACGAAAAGTCCCATTTGAAATAGAAACTGTAGAAGAAAAGAAATTTTCTCTGTCCAATTGTATTGCCCTCAAATCATGACTTAGTTCATAGGTTAATTTTAGATTACCATTTGCGACTATCCCACGCTGGTGTGCAATCCGTACTAGCCAATATTCGACAGAAATTCTGGGTCCTGAGACGAAGAAAAAAAAAACAGTACATAAAGTTCTTATGAAGTGTGTTCGTTGTAGAAGATATAGCGCAAAGAATATAGAGACTGTTCCAGCACCTCTTCCTGAAGATCGAGTTCGAGATGCTCTGGTGTTTGAAGAGACCGGAGTCGATGTAGCTGGTCCTCTTTATTTAAGAAAAGGAAAAAAGGCATGGATCTTGCTTTTTACTTGCGCGGTCTATCGCGCGATACATCTTGAGCTGATAGAAAGTTTATCAACAAATGCGTTCATCTTGGGATTAAGGAGATTTATTGCCAGAAGAGGTCGTCCAAGGTATTATTTACAGCGACAATGGCACTAATTTCGTTGGAACTGAAAATCTTTTTAAGATCGATAGATTGGAAAGAAATAGAATGTCATTCAACTAGTATGAGAATACAGTGGAAGTTTAATCCCCCAACTGCTTCATGGTGGGGCGGTTGGTGGGAGAGGTTGGTACAAACAGTGAAGAAGATGTTGAGAAATGTTCTCGGAAAGTCCTGTGTCTCTTACGAGGAAATGTTGACTATACTTTGTGATATCGAATCAGTGATTAACTCAAGACCCCTTACGTACCTTTCAGAAGATCCAAATGATCTTACGGCACTAACTCCTTCAATGTTTCTACAAGATGTGCACGACGTCGGAGAGTACCAGACTTAGACTAGACTACCTGGATACCATCAATCTGACAAAAAGATACAAGTTCTTGCAGAACTTAAGAGAACATTTTCGCAAAAGATTTCGTGATGAATATTTAGCTATCCTAGTGCAAAAAACCATCTAAACGATCTACTCGGACTATCAACAAAAATGACTTGGTGTTTGTCGGCAGCGCGACAACAAGAAGAGAATAGATTGGCCAATAGGTCGTGTTGTAGAACTATATCCTGGGAAAGACAACGAAGTACGTGTTGTCAAAGTGAAAACTGCAACGGGTGAACTCCTAAGACCTGTGAAACGTATTTATCCTCTCGAACTTGATAGACCTAAACTTTTTTAGTGACTTCACCATGAACAGAAAAAACTCTGCCGATAAGTGTGACAGTGATATGAACTATCAAACTAGATATGGACGTAAAACTGTAAAACCTGTTACATATTTTTAAATTGCTATACTAATTTTTGTTTCTTTTCAGTATTTTAGAAATTTAATTGTCCTAACAGTAGTCAATTGGAACATGTTATCTGGATATGGTATGAATGTAATGCAGAAAATGTTTAGATGTGTAATCCTTCTTTGTAAGTATTAATTTTAGAGCATTAGTTACTTTTCATATTTGTGAAAGTTGTACTTGAATTTTTGTTTGATTATTGATAAATTTTGTTTTGATTTTCCCATCTTATCGAGGTAAAATCAAAAGGTGGGAGGATGTCACATTCTTGCCACTAGGTGGCGGGCATCTCTTCCTTTACTTTTGCTGTAATTAAGTTCCGAGAACCAGTCGAGATTGGAACCGCTCTGAGGAGCGTAAAGACTCAGAGTTAAAAATGTACTGTCTTAAAATAATTATCACTTACCTTGTAAATAGTGCATATTAGCGTTTTCTTTAAATAAATAATTAAAAGACAAGATGGCCTGCTAATTGTAATAGAAACTCTTACTGGAAAACGTGATTATTAGAAGCCTGGCGTCGAGAACACTGAAGATGCAGCAGGTAAGGAATTTTACATTAATTTTATTGTAAATAGAAGAACCTGATGCAACAATAGTAATATTACAATGCTAAATTGACAGTGTCATCTATACAATAATTGTTACATAATAATCCGTATGAAAATAAATATACGATCAATTAATAATTACATTGTCATGGATAGGATCTATGTTGTGGAAAGTGGAACTTATATATTAACCAGTTTTTAAACCTATGTCTTCTTCAATACATCATAACTTCATGTTCTTATCAGTTACACACCTAATGATGTGTGTCGTATTTGTGTATTCTATTCTATGTTCACTTTTGTTAAATTCATCGTTCAAGTAAATACTACTTGTCCAGTTTGATACATCATAACTTCGTGTCCTTAACAGTTAGCACACCTCATTATGTGCGTCCATAGCAATTTGCACACTGTGTCGCAATTATCCACAAGACAAACACGAAATTGCAATTGGGAATTTCATTGTAATATGTACACTATTTTACTATTATCCACAGAACACAATGTTTGTAAATAATGACTTGGGCTCCCAGATGATAAAAAAAGGAAACTAATTCTTAAATTTTTCAATACAATTCTAAATTGTGCAAAACTACAGATTTGTTAAACAATTCCAGTCAATACAAAGTGACCGGTATTCCAACAATATAAAGCACATATTCTAAAAAAAAAAAAAGGTCTAATGGAAAACAGGAACTAATTCCCAATTAAAATAGACATAAAATACAAAATTATTCAGCACATATTATATACCAATCATCATACCAGAAAAATACACATGTTTCAAATGCTGCAACTAATATTTTATTACAGTTAGAATATTTACCAATCAAACATACTACAAATGTACATGTTAAAAAAAAACTGCAACTAATTTTTTCATGGCAGTTAAAATAATAAATTTCCATTATACAATTATAAATAGCACAAATAAACAATTTCAATCTATACAAATTGGCAGGTATTCCTACAACATAAGAACAGTTATTCAAATATAGCTAATCATTCTTGTAAAATGGCTACAATAGTGCCCAAGTTCTTCAAATAAAATATAAGTTACAAATAAATACAAGATACTGCTTTTTATGGCATTTTCTCCCTACTTCCAGCGTGCCTTCGTGGTGCAACGATTAACACACTAGACGCGTATTCGAGAGATCCAGGTTCGAGCCCGGGCGAGGGCATTGCTCATTTCACATGTCTCCTGCTTAAAAATAACCTAATGCCTTTACACTGGAGCCCGAACTGAAAGGTGGTGCATGATGGGTTTTCGCCACCAGGATTTGGCTTTTGGGTCCCCTAATCCCCAGTCGTCGTTTAAGAGGGGAAGTATATAAAGTATATTGTCTCTACTTCCAGCATGCCTACGTGGTGTAACGGTTAGCACATCCAGCCCGTATTCGAAAGGTCCAGGTTCGAGTCCCGGCGAGGGCACTGCTCGTTAAATTCCTACTATTAGCTTACACTCTCCCTATATCTTGTTCAAATTTTCAAACGTCAATAAAATACATTTTATTCATCCATTCAAGTTCAAATACATTTTCTAAAACTTTTAGTGGGTGACACTTGATGTTAATACAGTTTTTTACATATTAAAGTCAATTCCTACCTATTTATTCCTGTTTATCGGGACTAAAGATATACTGTTTTTTAAATGTATTATAAGACTTACAAATAATGATCGTTTATTATTAGGAATCCTCACGTGCCGTAAAAATTAATTGTATAATAACTTATAAATGACTGTACATGAATGTACATGACTCTGATAAATGGGATTGCAATAATGAACAAAAGTAAGTGGTAACAGTGAAACATAGTTCTAAAAACTTTTAAAGTCTATGGAATTAAAGAACTGTTGTTTCATGGAGTTGGATGAAGTGGATGTATTGTCACATTATGCAGAAAAATCCCCCCCCCATATTTCTATGTTAACGTGATAATAATATATGTTTAAGATATAACCATTTAAAATGTCCCTTGCTTCACAAACGGAGAGTACACGAAAAAAAAAAAAAAAGCGAAAAGAAACTACAATACGACGCAAGCGACGATTAGAGAAAGAAAAACAGTGTATGAATCACTGAATTGTGTGAAACCATTAGAAGGAATATTAATTGAAGAACTGGGCTGCTAGAAACTCTCTGGAAAGGTTCCTTGCAATAATGAAGCATTACAAGAAATGGATAAAATGAGAAATTTTAGATCACCCATCACCTTCATAATTTAGAAACGAAAAAATGTTAAAAAGTAACTAAAGCAAAATTTTTCTTTGTTGACCTAAGTAGGAATTGACTTTAACTTTTTTTTATATATATTACTCGTTTTTTATGTCTCCTGCTTTAAAAATCGTAATATCCCTACAACTGAATTATTATTTTCTCCGTGACCAATTTTGAAATAGAACGTTACAGCAAGTAATTAACTGAAAGGTAGTTATTCCAATAACATTTTTACGTAACATAGAACTTCGCTATAAATTAGTTCTGGACTTCAAAATCTTGAAAATGTTTTAAATTTGAAAAATTTTTTTATTTCACTAAAAAGAGATTCAGAATTTATTACGTCTCATTAAGAAATACGACAAACCTCAATTAATAATCTAATTATATAATGTACCATAAATAAATTCTTCAGCTAATTTTTAATTTTCAGTTAATTTCGAAAGAATAAATTGTTTCCTTCATCTTCATGAATTCTGTTCGTAACTGTGTTACTATACTGAAATTACTATTGAAATTGTATATATAATCTGTGCTTGTACGTTTGTTAATGAAAGTGTTTCACTCATAAATCTAGTTGTAATATTGTATTTTTACTGAAAGAAATACTCGTTTAATTTCAGGAGTTCCCACTTTAAGTGATCTCACCGAAGACCTCATCGCAACATTCGACTCAGTCGTTCATTATCAGAAAACAAATAGCTTGTCCGAGAAGGATGAAGAGGAAGACTGAAATTTGAGAATTTAAAAGATACTGATTTCCACTCAAAAATGTGTGATTAAAATATACTTCACTGTAAATTTTATTATATTTATTAAAGTATTCATGTTTTTATGAGGACCCTAGTTTTAATACTTCAAAGATGTGTTCTCAAATAGAAATAATACATTTTCCGTTTAAAATTAAAGCTGAAAAATACTAAAGCGTATGTTTATCAATCGACGACGCATAAGTTTATTAATTTATATCTTATATAATGAAGCTGCTTATAGTCAACGTAGAAATCTTAAATGTACAAAACGCTTTTTTTATGTGTACTTTTGACACAATATTTTACCACAAACACTATTTAGACAGTAAGTGGGATTATAATATATATATTTTAATATTATCACATTTCGGTTAAATAATTGTAACTTTAATCTTCCTTTACACAATACTGCCTGTATCCACAATGCTATTGCGTGCGTACAGGTTCGTTGTGAATTGAATGCACAAGTCCGATGAAAAATGAATAAAATCTATTATTATCACAACAAATAAAACAAAGGGCTTGAATTTCCTCATATATTCGTACAATATCTCAAAGAAGTTATATTTTAAACTAAAAACGTTCAACAGAACTAATTCAAAATAGAGAAGCGTATAGAAAGCTAATTCGATTTCACAGCGAATTCGCTGCAGTAAACAGCAGCAGTTTTCTAAACAAACTCATAAGACAACTGAGATGAGATATTGATTCTCTGGCTTTTATAAGCTTTTTAATCAGCACGATCATAGTCTGGTATTTTCTCGATTTTTCCCGAAAAGCGTACAATTAGTACGCTTTTGCTTTTCGGTTAGTATGCTTTCGCTTTTGCTTTTGCTCGAGATATCTATTTATTAAATTCGTGCGCTCCTGTATTTTTAATTTTTCCGGCGTAGTTTCTCTTCAAATAAGTCACGTGCAGCATTGCACGGGGGAAATGAAACAATTTTATAACAATTCTACTAAATATAGCAAACTAAATAAATCAATATAAAACCCGTAACACTACTTTGGAATAGTTATGATTAATTTTATTAGAACGGAGAGTTTAACATTATGTGTTTGTTGTTATGGGTTGGTAATAGACTGGATGCACACAGAAGCGATGACTGTTTGATAAAATATTTTACTAAAAGCTGGAACTTTCCAAAAAATACTCATACTGGTTTTCTCGATATCACAGAGTAAAATCAATAGTTGCACTTTAAACTACTAAGAATGTTAAACACATCTCAACGCAAAGAGTATCTAAAAAGGAAACGTTTCGACGGAGATATCGCGAAACTCCGAACACACGCTGAACTAAACAACTGAGAAACTAATGCTCTCCATAGTCTTATATAGTAACGTTTTAAGGTTTTCTCTTTAATTGTGTCATTTCGGTACATTAAAATAGACATTCTCTGTAATAAATCCTTGTATGTAATAACAGACTGTGTTTATAAACCGAAAACTATCAGAAGTTATCAGAAGATAGTTATCAGAAGGTCCTAGCTCTATGAAGTGGCCTGAGTTCGGAGCAGTATATATTTTTTTTTCTACAGTACAGTTTTTAGCAGTACATTTTGATCATATGCCAAACAGGATACTGCCAAACAGGTTCGTTATAAATTGAATGCACAAGTCCGATGAAAAATGAATAACATTTAAAAGATTTAGAGAAATTTAAGTAATAGATTTAGAGCTTGGAGCCTTATCTTGATGAAAGCGAACACAGTGAAGATTGTTTGGATAAAGGGATGGAATTTGTTCTTTAAAAATATGTGCTAAAACATATTTCTGATGGTAATCTGAATTCATTTTGACATTTTTTCTTCGTTCCTTGCTTTAAGTTTTCCGTTATAAGAGAATCCAATAATAACCCTAAAACCTTCAGAAAAACTTTCCTTGTTTTCAATATTAGGCCTTTTTCTCCTCTGTTTCGGAAGTAATTGGATCATTTCCTTTTGCAGTCAGATAAATATATCCAAGCCTCATCAATTGTAACTATATATTTCCATTTTTCACTCAAAATAATTTCATACGAATTAATATTTCTCTGGAAAGTTCGCGTTAGTGAACAACGTTTTATTATCGAAGTAAACAACAAAAATCAGCGTTAATTTACAAAATTTTCACAGGACTAGTTTCGATGGTTTTACCGAACCATCATCTTCAGCTGCAAAACCGCAAATGAACAAGATAGGAAATAATGATTAGATAAGATAAGAAAGCCTGGACAAGAATAAGCAAGTGGCGCCATCTGTTGGCGAAACCAGAACTAAAACATAATTTCTCTAAAAGCCGAAGGCAAATTTGGATTGGAATTAGGATCGTTAACTAGAACAGAAAGATTTTTATGAATGTGAAATGCCTCTAGAAAATCCAGTTCTCCAATGGAAGATGTTTTTTGAATAATTTTGGCAGCAGAAAAATTGAAAGTGTGATTTTCGGACCAACAATGTTGAGCAACAGAAGACTTCTGTGTTTCCTTTTTTCTAACATATGCCTCATGTTCTTTGACGCGAAATTTTAAGGCTCTCTTAGTTTGGCCAATGTAAATTAAACCACACTGGCAAGGAATCCTATAAATACCCCAGGAATTCATATCCGGAATGGGGTCCTTGAGTATAGAAGTTGGAATTTTATTGATGGGAGAATAAACAACCCGAAAGTTAAATTTCTGCAAAATATGTGCAACTTTATAGCTAATTGATGGAAAGAAGGGAATGACAACAGAATTTTTATAATCTCCTAAAATAAGAGTGTGGCTTTTAGTGTGTTGAGATGAGAATTTTTTTTTAACTGCTTGATTAATAATGTTGGGTGAAAAGCCCCTGTCAATAGCTATTGCTTTTAAATAATTTAGTTCTTCATCAAGGGCTAGTTTGGAGGAGCAAACTTGAAGAGCACGGAAAACATAGGAATAAAATGAAGCTAACTTTGTTTAGTCGGATGACATGATTTAAAGTGTGGTGGAAGGCAAACCGATGAAGGTTTACGGTAAACCTGTAGTACTGAAGTTGGATGTGTTACGTGTGACCAGAATGTCGAGAAACGGAAGAGAATTGCAAGTCTCAAGTTCAAAAGTGAACTGAATAGCAGGATCAATAGAATTCATTGTTGAAAGAACTTTATTTAAATCATCTTTATTACCTTCAAACAGGGTAAAAGTATCGTCTACGTAGCGGAACCATGCCGGGAAGTTTAAAGTTTCAAACAATTTTGATTCATAATAATGCATGTAGATATCAGCCAGGATGGGACTGAGGGGGCTTCCCATGGCTAATCCCTCAGTTTGCTTGTAATATTTATTTTGGAAAACAAAATGTGTTTGTTTCAAACAGAGTTGAGTGAGAGAAATTAGCTCATCAATTTCGATGCAAGAGAAATGAAATTCGCGAAGTCTGGTTTCTAGACATCTTAATGCACCCTCCACTGGGACATTGGTGAATAATGATTTTACATCAAAAGAAACCATGAGTAAATTACTAGGAGAAATGTTTTTAACCTTTTTTACAAACTCTATTGAATTTTTTATGGTGTAAATGTTATTGTCTAATAGAGTGGAAAATCTAGAAACTAAATATTTAGCTAGTTTGTGCCAGTCTCGCCGATGTGAAATTCAATAATAAACCTTTGAAACCAAATCTAACTGCGAGAGAAAGAGCTACAATGCGCGAAATTCATTCTAACCCGGATATATTATCATTTCAAAGGCCGACAAAGGTGGCCAGATAGTCGTCATGGATAAGAACACTTCGATGGTGTCACTAAACTCTTAAACGAAGGACCATATAATCCGATCCCTAAAGATCCTTCACCTTCGGACTTATCCAAAAATAAAAACTGCGATCAAATTTTCACAAATCATTTCAAGCAACTTAAAACATTCGCTTATCCCATCTGTTGCGAATTGTGCCAGATTATATGCTCTTCCCAAAATTCATAAAAGTGGTATTCCTTTCCGCCCTATTGTATCAAATTTAGGTACTGCCTCGTATCCATTAGCTAAATATTTAGTTTCTAGATTTTCCACTCTATTAGACAATAACATTTACACCATAAAAAATTCAATAGAGTTTGTAAAAAAGGTTAAAAACATTTCTTTCTCCTAGTAATTTACTCATGGTTTCTTTTGATGTAAAATCATTATTCACCAATGTCCCAGTGGAGGGTGCATTAAGATGTCTAGAAACCAGACTTCGCGAATTTCATTTCTCTTGCATCGAAATTGATGAGCTAATTTCTCTCACTCAACTCTGTTTGAAACAAACACATTTTGTTTTCCAAAATAAATATTACAAGCAAACTGAGGGATTAGCCATGGGAAGCCCCCTCAGTCCCATCCTGGCTGATATCTACATGCATTATTATGAATCAAAATTGTTTGAAACTTTAAACTTCCCGGCATGGTTCCGCTACGTAGACGATACTTTTACCCTGTTTGAAGGTAATAAAGATGATTTAAATAAAGTTCTTTCAACAATGAATTCTATTGATCCTGCTATTCAGTTCACTTTTGAACTTGAGACTTGCAATTCTCTTCCGTTTCTCGACATTCTGGTCACACGTAACACATCCAACTTCAGTACTACAGTTTACCGTAAACCTTCACCGGTTTGCCTTCCACCACACTTTAAATCATGTCATCCGACTAAACAAAGTTAGCTTCATTTTATTCCTATGTTTTCAAGTTTGCTCCTCCAATCTAGCCCTTGATGAAGAACTAAATTATTTAAAAGCAATAGCTATTGACAGGGGCTTTTCACCCAACATTATTAATCAAGCAGTTAAAAAATTCTCATCTCAACACACTAAAAGCCACACTCTTATTTTAGGAGATTATAAAAATTCTGTTGTCATTCCCTTCTTTCCATCAATTAGCTATAAAGTTGCACATATTTTGCAGAAATTTAACTTTCGGGTTGTTTATTCTCCCATCAATAAAATTCCAACTTCTATACTCAAGGACCCCATTCCGGATATGAATTCCTGGGGTATTTATAGGATTCCTTGCCAGTGTGGTTTAATTTACATTGGCCAAACTAAGAGAGCCTTAAAATTTCGCGTCAAAGAACATGAGGCATATGTTAGAAAAAAGGAAACACAG